GAGGTCGAGCCTCGCCCAGCGACCTCACCAGATCCGGCGAGGTCGGGCCTCGCCCGACCATGGCGAGGCTCGCCCTCGCCGCGGCCTCCGGCGAGGGCTCGAGCCTTGCCATGGTCGGGCGAGGCCCGACCTCGCCGGGCGAGGCCGCCCTCGCCAGTGGCCAGCGAGGTCGAGCTCGCCGGCCTCTGGCCTCTGGCCGGTCGCCGGACCGACGACCGGCCAGAGGAAGGAGGGAAGACCAAAAAAAAAAGTGGAAAAAAAAATAAAAAAAATCAAAAATCAAAAAAATATTAAAATATTACTAAAGTTTTCCACGTCGGCGCCACGTCAGCGCCGGTGACCGGCCGGTAGGCGTTCACGTCGGCAAATTCCTATCAAAATTGACCGGAAGGATTAAATTGGTACAAAAACAAAAGGTTTAGGACTGAATTGGCACCAATTTAAAAGGTTTAGGACTTAATTGGCATCAAAAAAAGGTTTAGGACTAAATTGGCATCAATACAAAAGGTTTAGGACTGAATTGGCACCAAAAAAAGATTTAGGACTAAATTAGCACTAATGCAAAAGGTTTAGGACTTTTTTGCCACTTTTCCCCACATTATTGCATCTAATGGGCTGTTGCTCTTGCTTGCCGCCCTTACGTAAGACTGTCGACATTCTAAACCCTAAATTGGTTTCCCCCTCGAAGTCAATAAATTGAAAGTCAAGGTCTATGCTTCTCTTTATTGACCCAAATAAAATAAGCTAAAAATGACAAGCTTTTGGCATCACCTAGATACATGTGCTTCGTTTATAATAGTGACCGTATACCAATACATGCGTGCTTATAGGGAAAGCCGTTCTTCCTTCGTGTGGGTACTGGGTGCCTGAAAATTCAAAGCTCTGCACTTTTTCTAAACCCTTTTTTGGGTCGCCTAACTCACCTTTCTTTGTTGACAAATCTCGAGCTAGCAGTAGTCTCTTCTCGAGCTTTGAAACCATTCTTTTGACAAAGTCAGATCCTCCCCCCGGGTAACTTCTTGGCATCTACGTTTGCCACCGACTTTGACTCTAGGTGGGGGGGAGGATGCGAATAAGAAGTCCAAAGAAAAAACCCAAAAAGGAAAAGATGAAAAAAAGAAAGGGAGAGAGAAATCCTTTCAAGAACTATCGAACCATGTGATTGAAATTGTTGGAATCTCTCGCTTTATTCTGCATCAAAGAAGCGAATATTGTAAGATACAATGGAAAATATTGGAGATTCGAAGGCTATAGTGGAGTCGGGGCCGGTTTGATCAAATTGCCCTTAGGCTCCACTAGCAGCAAGTTGCCAGCTATTCTTTCCCTGCCAAGTGGGGCGTGAACCTCTAAGTCTTTTCAACGCGAGAGAACTTTTACCTACAATTGGTTGAAGTGTTGACTCCAAGGGCAGAGAGCAACCGAAAGAACCCATGCATGTCCAGGAAACTTCCCACGTTGTCTTTCCTGTTCGAGAATCTGTAAAATGCATGTAAACCTTCAGTCCTTCAATGCGTTACCGCGATACTTCCAGAACCTACCAAATGGTACATTGTTATATCGAGGATAGTCAATCAGTTGTATACCAAGTAAGCACGTCATCTGATATAAATAGTGTGATATAGTTTCTGATGATACAATATAGGGAACCATCATGGCAAACCGGTCTGGCCCAAGGAAGGCTAGGGTTAGGACCATGCCCTAGTTTGATGGCATATAAAAACAGCTTATCAAGGGAAACAATATATGTTCATTTGTCAATTCTACTAGCCTCACCATGATGATAGGGGAAGAGGGGACGCAAACCTAGCATAGATCAAAGCCAAAGGGTTTTAGTCCATCCACTGGTCCAATACATCAATTGCATTTCGCTATTTTATCGTTCCACTCGGTTATGAGCTCATGTTACCGAGTTCGATAGAAGAACGCTATACGGGAATATACATAGTATAGAGAAATTAAAATATATGGTCAATGGAGCGAAGTCAAGGGAAAGAAGAGAAGGGGACAATGCAGGCAACTATGCTTCTCAGAAATCCCAAAAGGCAAAAGGGCTGACAACAGTATTGACTTGACTTCTTGGCGTATAACACACTCTAGCTACTTTTTTTTTGCTCATCGACTCTAGCTACTTGAAAATTGCACTTCTTCGTTAAAAAAAAAAGTAGAATGTAAGAATTCTTTTTCCTTTGGAGACCCGCAAGTATCGTGCATATTTCCAAGCTATCGAGGCACAACTTCGGTCGAAGATCCCATAGAGACCTACTAAGTCTTGCTTGTTTGAACAGGTATTTAGTTATGGCATTCTGATGATCGTTGACTTATATATGCCATATGGTAATGCTAAGTTCAATGTAACATATCTTTTTTTTCAAAAGTTTAAATCGTGAAGAAAATATGCATGAGTTCTAAAACCATCCAATACAGAAAAATGGTCATCGAGGAAAAATCAAAGAAGCTAACTTCTAAAACTCAATTACACTACCAACACAAGTTTTAGGATTGCTGGCAGAGTTGTCTATTTAGAACTACCGCGACAATGGCATGACTATCAGTCTACAAGCGGCCTCCGCCCCCTAGGTTCTATAATTTTCATATGGGTATTAGGTAAAAATTCTCGGGGCAAAACAACATTTTGCATACTCAAGAAATTGGTATCTCTGTCTCCCTTCAATCTAAAATACTACATCTTTCGTCGTGCAAGAACTCTTCGGTTCTGGAAAAGCCATTAACAGAGCCATACGCAATGTAGCTAACAATTTGAAGATGTGATAAAAGACATAATGAAAACGTCAAGAAGCTGAGTTTTATATGATTGGATACAAGCACCAAATGATTCACGATGGCCGCTGGTTTTGACGCTTGCCGCATTAGGGTTAGGTGGGGGCTATTAGTTTCAGCGGCTTTCAGGGGGCGAGACTGAGGCTCTGTGATTTTGGGGTTAAGTTTTTTCAAAACCTGCCAATCAGAAAGGTCTAATGTCTAGGTGCACCACAAGGTTAGGAGCAAGTCTCCTGTTCGAGCGACATTCTTTTCACAACCAAAAATAAAAACTCTAGGGTTTCTTGTATCTAAGACGATGAACCAAGAAGAAAGGGCCGGCGACATCTAATTGAATATACACATTTGACAGACCTTTCACTTAGATTATATGATCACGGGACAGAACAAGAGGAAGACATGAGTGCCTACTTGTTCAGTGTTATGTTTCAAAGTCACTTAAATAATGACACCTTAACAATAATAAAATAATGTCACAGCATCTAGTTTAGTTAGTTTTCTGCTAGGACCACACGATTAAATAACCAATATGGTCTTCTCTCTAATGGCAGGGAAAATTAACAAAAGACCAAAGAAGTCTGCAACCTCCGACACGAACAATGCAACCTTGTGAACTTTCGTCTTGCTTTCGTTTTCCATCTCTTTCTCGGACAGCCTCCTTATAATTTTTTTTGCTTTTCAGATGTTGGCTTCAAGTAGTGGTAGTGGGGACTGAGACACGTGCTAGCTAAAGTTAAATGCGCGATCGCCTTTTCCTTCACATGCAAAATTCCATTTACATAGTTATTGACGATGGGTTTAAGCACAAATAACGTATTTATTCCTGGAATAAACTAAACAAAAAGCAACTGACTTTCTTAGAATTTGTGTAGTACATGGCATGGAAAGTCTGTCCATTGTACTTGCAAATATAGACGTCTGATTTGGTGAGTAAATGCAAGGAACGTTCGATGCAAGGGAGCTGCCCCGAAAGTTAACGGGTCCTCTAGAAGAAAAGTTCATGGAATGTATGTAATCAAACCATATTCGACAGAGAATTATTTTTTTTGTGTAATCTAGGACAAGAGTTTATAGATCTGGCTATCTAGAGGCTCATTCAATACCGTGCAAACTTCCTGAACCAATTAACTCCAATAAAAATGTAAGTAGATCCGCAATTTCTTGACTACAATGAAATTAGTTATATGTCGGGTCGACGCTGTTCAAGCCTGACGCATTCTTCACTTAAGGATATCGCCAAAATAGAGCCTAAATCCTAACGCATTAAAATATCCGGTTAGACCCTCTTTTACTAGAAAATTTAAATCAATGGTTATAGGCCAATTAATATATATTAACTATTTCACTTTACATCCCACCGAATAACTAGGTCAGGATGTTCTAGTCCTCTTTTTATGAGTAAGAGGATGGGGATGAGCGGTCAGGCCAGTTGCTCCTGCTAGACGTTACCATGATGATTTTCATATCAGTTACGGAATTTTCGATTTGTGTTGATAACTATTTGACCCACTGTGAGGTGTACTAGGCCCTCGCCACGTAACTTAGCTGTGTGTTAGAAGTTGGTAAATCTTTTCACGCAAGGTAACAAATGTTCAAAACTAGAGGTGATCGGTTCTCAATCTGATCCAGTTTGGTTTCAAGGTGAAACCGGGAACCGAACCGAGAGGATCGATTCTCAATTTTGAGAACCGGGGATCAAACCGGTTGGTCACCGGTCCAATGAAACCGGTCGCCTTTTTTATTTTTTTTCCCATCACAACGAGAGAGAGTGACAAATCTCAACATATTGACGAAAACGATAATGAGTGAAGAATCATTGTAGTGCAACGATAAGGGAAAATCATTGTGCTTGGGTTTAATTCACATCTTACTAATTTTTTTGAAGAAATAAAAGAAAAGTATTTGTAGCCAGTCCGGTTCGATCCGATTCTTCTTTGAAATCGGAAACCGGACTATCTGGACACCGGTTCCACTTTTAGGAACAGGGAACCGGACCGACACTCTCGGAAACCGAATCAATCCGGCCGATCCGGGTGGTTTCTAATCCGGGCAGTCCGTTTTGCACACCCTTATTCAAAACACAAGCCAATTAGAAATTCGCTAGCGGCGATGAACTTATGATATTAGGAAAGACGGTGTTGAAGGACGTTTATGTCACCTAGTGCCGTGCGAGCATGCTAATAAATTGACTAGACTTGCGAACCGAAGGAGAGTGAAGTGCGCGAGTTCTTTCCCCCCACCTTTTCGAGCCCATTATTAACATTCCCCCGACCCCTCTCTTCTCCTTCATCTCCATCGCCTGTTTCTCTCCTCTGTTTCGTTCCTTCCCCCTCGCATTGTTCTCTTCTCCGAATCCTCTGTTTCTCCTCTGTTTTCGACTCGGTGAAGCGGAGACTCCGCAACCTCATACCCACAAACGTAGATCTTCCCTCTCTTCCTTTTCGTTCGGGAACATGACACGCATGGTCGTGCGCGCGGAAATGAAGAAAGGAAAGGTGATGAAGCAGAGCGGCCGGGTTTTGGACCCAAAGCTCGGCGTCAGCTTCATCGACGTGAAGCAGATCCTCCAGGATTTGCCCAGGAAGTTCCTCAAGGACGGCAGAAACGTGGTGAGAGAGGCTCGAGTGAGCACGTTGCTGGACTCCATGAGAGCTTCCTCTCCTGCACGAGCAAAGCCTGGCAGCGCGACGGCAAGAGCAGCCTCTCTCATTGACAAGCAAAAGTCGTGGATCGTAAGTCCTTAGCTAGAGAAATACAATTTGCAATTTTCACCCCCCGGGCAATCGCCTCGGACATATAAAGTAACGTCTCTGACTCTCTGGTGTGTGATTACAGATGCGTCATCCGTCGGCATTGAGCAAGTTCGAAGAGATAACGAGAGCTTCGCTGGGGAAGAAGATAGTGATGTTCCTCGACTACGACGGCACTCTCACCCCCATCGTTGAAGACCCCGATCGCGCTTTCATGTCTCCCAAGGTCATCATCTTCTTCTTCTTCTTCTTCTTCTTCTTGAACTGCTCTGTTTTTCCATTTCCATATTCGCCAGTCAACAAAATTACCAAAACAGGGTGCTTAAGATCATCTCTTTCTTTCCATTTCTTGGTCGATTTTGGGAAACAGATGAGAGAAGCTGTGAAGGACACTGCGAGATTCTTCCCCACGGCGATAGTGAGCGGGAGATGCAGAGACAAGGTACATTTTTTATGGGATTTTTAGTTCCCCTTAACAAAATATCCCACTTTTCTCCCGAATTATTTTTAAAACAAAGACATTAAAATCGAATGGGAATTATATTTTTCATTTGCATAAATCACGGAATGCAGGTTTGCAGCTTCGTGAAGTTGAAGGAGCTATACTACGCAGGCAGCCACGGCATGGACATCAAAGGACCCCCTAGAAGTTCCAGCAATGGTAACAAAGTAAGTTCCATCTCCTCACTGCTTAGAACCACAATTGCTCAACAGTAAAACCATTCCTGGATCTGCAATCCCTATCACTGTTCAAAAAATTCTTCACGCATTATTTTTCTGACCTCGTTTTTCTTCCTTCCATCGTTCATCAGGACGGCGAATCGGTTCTCTGCCAACCCGCGAGTGAATTCCTGCCCATGATCGACGAGGCGAGTCTCTCTCTCTTTTTAACCACAACATTCGCGAGGCTAATGAAACATGCCGGCCAAAAGTTGCAAGATGACTCTCGTTTCTGATCAACTTCATTCCCCTGTTTTTCTTAGCAGGTCTACAAGACCTTGTTGGAGAGCACCAAGTCGATCCCGGGAGCCAGGGTGGAGACCAACAAATTTTGTTTGTCCGTACACTTCCGGTGCGTTGAAGAGAAGGTAAAGACACGAAAAAGTCAAACGTCGTACCGAGTTCTGCTCGAATCATATGTTTTGTCGCATGAAACTTTCAAATTTACTTTGGTTTTTTTCCATTCTTTGTTTTGAAATTTTCGTTTTCAACTCTCGCAGAGCTGGGATGCTTTGGCCGAGCAGGTTGAACTTGTGCTCAGCGGGTACCCGAAGCTCAAGCTGACAGCTGGCAGAAAGGTATTGGCCCGTTTTTGCATTTTTTTTCAGCATTTTCTTTGATGTTTTTTATACAAAATATGGTATCAGTCAAAAAAAAAATAGATAATTTCACGTACATCATCTTTTTCTATGTTGACTAACTAAATTTTTCTAAGTTCGAACTCCGGAGTGTATTGTACCATGCAATTCTTGTTTTTAAGTGTAAATGTGCAGCATCTCTTTTTTTGGCCAAGAAAGATATATCGAATATCTCTTCCCCGAAACTCCTCACGAAAAATGTTGTTTTTGATCGGAGCAGGTATTTGAGATCCGTCCGACCATCATGTGGGACAAGGGGAAGGCCCTCAAGTTCTTGCTAGAGGCACTTGGTGAGTTGATCGAACTTTCTCGATTAAAAAAAAAAACATAAGCGAAAACAGTGACCATTCTAGTATTTGAAATCAAATTCTATTTTTGCATGAAATGAAGCACGTGAGACACTCTCCTCCTTGAGTACAAGAAGGTGTTACATATGTTCAGTACTCATTTTCCCTTGTCTTATCATCTTAGGGTTCGGCACTTCCGGCAACGATGTCCTGCCGATCTATATTGGAGACGATCGGACAGACGAAGATGCATTTAAGGTACTCGGAATTATTTCCATTATTCTATTGCATGTTCTCTTGACATTTTGTACCTAAACAGCTAAAATTATGTATCAAGATTTAAATAGTATTAATTGTTATAAACGTGTGTGTAGGTTTTGAGAGAGAGAGGACAAGGAGTAGGAATTCTCGTCTCTAAAGTCCCCAAGGAAACAAGTGCCTCTTACTCTTTGCAAGAGCCCTCCGAGGTAAATTACTTCTCTTCGATTCCTTTCGTGCTCTGAGTCACATCCCATTCTCTCTTTTCCTTCTTTAAGATCACCCATTTTCCCTTCTCAATCTGACATATCCTTCTGTTTGTTGAGCTATGTGTATGTGTAATTGTTTTGGTAGGTCATGAGCTTCTTGCGCCGCCTGGCGGAGTGGAAGCGGCAGTTGCTCCGAGCAACCCTATAGAGCTCGGCGAAGCCTCGCGATATTATCGATTTTTCCACCTCCGAAAGTTATGTAATTTCCACGGTGTAGATCATGGATGATACCACAATTGATGAGAATTACGAGTTAATTGTGAATATGTCCAAGATAAAGTATTACGATGTTATGTAATTTTTTTTTATTTTGCGGTGTAGATCACGAACGATACTACGATCAATAAGAATCACGAGTTAATTGTCGATATGTCCGAGATAACCTATCATCCGCCTTTTCGCGGTCCTTTCAGTGTATGCAAGAACGGTCTTGGCTTGGCATCATGGCATGCCGACCTGTCAAGCCAGTGGAAATCGCACTCCAGAGAGTAATAGTGTTACTTTGCTTCAACTGGATTTTTTGGGCGCTAGCTAACTAATTTTGGAATTTACATAACATCATAAGTACCTAAATGCATACTTGGACACATAATTATAATTACTTGGTGTTAACCACACCTGAAAACTTCCTCACGTAAACCCTAGAGCAAACGAGCCGGAGATCGGGAGGGAGGGAGATGATTGATACATTTTTAACATATTAGTTCCAAGTCTGGTTGGGGAAAATTTCTTCCGACAGAAGATGGAAGAAAATATAACCCTCGTTTTCTCACCAAAAGTCGAAACGAACTTTGGCAAAAAAAAAAATGCCAAAGGAGAACATTGACCTTAAAAGACTAAACTTAAAAACAAAAAATTAAAGTTAAGGTACTAAAAGGAGTTTTTTTTTTCCTAAACCCTTATTCTTTACAACTATTTTTCCCAAAAATAGGCACTTCAAATCTCACTTACCTATCGAGAGCACTTTGTGCCGTGTAAGTTTAATTTGATAATACTTAAAATTTTATAAATAACTCAAATAATCTCGTTCTCGAAGAAAAAGTGCAATTGTCTTTAGCAGAATAATGGAAGTTACAATAATAATATGATTTGTAGATATATAACAATTCGGTGCATATTATGTAATTATGAATAATATCTCAATAAGTAATAAATTGCAATACTTGCGACATAGAAATGTATTTATTAATACCTAATGTTGTGTAATTTTATATATTGATTATAAAAATTTTCATAACAAGATTAGCATAATAATTGATTACTCGATAGAACATTGCATATGATAACTTTTATGTTTTAATGGATTTTTTTATGCATGATGTAAATCTATAATGAAATTAAAAATGCTCAGAATTTGTGTATGTAAGTGTAGATTAGTTTATCATCTTTGAATATCTCATCTCATTGATACTGGTAAGCCTAAAAATTCAAAAAATTAAATAATCTAATTTACAAGCAAACTCAAATTAGTTAAGTTGTCCTACAAATACTCTTTATTATTTTACTGAAGAAATTGAGATCGATTGAAAGAAAAAGAAGTAAAAATTTACCGAATTACATAATGTATTCCTAAGTAAAATTCACTGAAATAGAGCGATCAATAATGGATACAACAGATAGACGAAAGACAGATGGCAAGGAGATGATGAGCGAGAGAGTGCAGTGCTAGCGACGTCGGTAGGCTACAAGGCTGCACTAATGGCAATGGTGGCCGGTCATGGGAGAAAGAGAGTGACAAAGGGGGACTAAATTAGGGTTTGGTGAAAAATGTGTGTAATAATCTGACTTAGGGACGTGGTTAATGTATGATCCTTATCAACCCTTTATAAGTTCATTCCATACCATTGTTGCTTTGATGTTCTTGATAAAAGTTCCATATCTTGGCTTTCAAAGATTTGGATGGGGATCAAAGCATATTAATCTAACACACTAAACCATCCCAAAGTTATCAAGACTGTTTGATGAATCAATCAAAATGTACATAATTTATCGCATGGTAGTCTCGCGTTCAGATGTGCCAAACTGCCGACAGAAAACCAATTTCCCAACTCCTGGCCGACATCAGCGTGTTGCTTCCAGCTTTCACACATGGTCACATGGATTCACCCTTGTCTCAGACAGAGAGATGAAAAGGGGACGGCGCAATTAAGAAAAGCTTAAACCAGATTGGGCAGGGTGTTTATTATTATTGCGGTAATACTTTTTTGCTCTTTTAAACGCCGGAAAGCAGAGGGCAACTGAAGAAGTGTGGCAGCCAAGTGGGTGATTAACCATTTGTTTAACAGAGGAATCCACACTAAATCAGGTTTAACGTGCAATGGAAAGCCTAAATCAATGGAGACCAGGCCGATCTGCGATCAAGAAACAAGCAACGCAGGCAGGAACCATTGGCTGGCAAGATTTCGGAGAGCCCACCTTCATATGACTGAGGAATCTCATAGTCGTTCTCTAATGGACGAAATTCTGTAGTTTAATGTGTTCGTTTTCCTCTTTTTCTTCGAGAGTGTTAGGTGGTGAAAGGGAAACCCACTATATGTCAAAAGGAGAAGCCATGGTTGAAGAGGAGTTGGAATCCACTCAAAGTGATTGATTCACTTGAAGAAGACATTGATATTAAATGGGGACAAGCAACATGCTTCGCAGGCCATGAAAAATCAATACTACTCTTGGAGACGTACGTGTAAAGAGAGCTTCCCACTATATTTATAGATATAAAACTCTTAATGGGTATTGTTACTGTAAACTTTTGCGGGCGAAGAAGCGATTCAATATCTATTGTGATACTCTCTTGAGTGCATGGAACATTATAATAAGAGACAAATGAGGAGTCTAAAGAAATTTAAACCCAAAAACTCGATCTGATGATGTGAAGCAAAACTATGTGATTACTGTCAATCCATACGAGAACTTAAATCGACAGATGAAGATCTTAAATCAGTATATGGAGGATTTGATTTAATATATAAATGCTTCTAAACAATGGTTAAACTGTAACAAGTGGATTCTGAAAATGAAATGAGCGATTTGGTGTTTTTTTTTTTAATTGCTTTATGTGTGAGTGAAGATGTCGTGCACTTGATTCAATGCCCAATTAAATATTTCCACGTAGATTCCCTGTACATTGTCAAGCTTAACAATATCGTTAGCATATCCATTACCAAAACCCTATTAGACATCAAAGTCCATCATTGGTGCACTCAAAACTGAAGCATTAAAGAAACCTGAGAACCCAACAATTATTGATGGAAAAGGGGCACTTCCCAAAGAACCAACTATTCCCTCACTAACCACAGCACCAGGAAATTTAATTGGCAGGTGTTTGCTCAACTCAATAATGGCTCATTAGTACACTTAAAATGTACTTTAGATCTTCGATGCACTCATAATGTCATTGATTTCTCCAGCACGAATAACCTCCTGCCCCAGATGAACCACACAGATAATGAAAGGAACTTAACTATGATCAGAAACTTTGGAATCCATGCCCTAGCTTTGTGGAATATATTCACCACCTAACCCTAGCTGTCAGACAGTATCATGCAATCTTTTTATGTACGTTTGTGATTCTGTAGCACGTTTTCTGTATGGAGATGCTCGAGAGATCGAGAGAGAGAGAGATGTATCTGTCTTGCTTCGAGGGCCGAGCTTAGGGTTTTGAATATTTGTGAAATTTGGAGCAGAAAGTTGACCAGACGGAGCCATTTTGTTGTCCTGAATTATAGCTTCATTTGGTAATTGGCCAAATAGTAATTGATTATATTTTTTTATTCTCAGAATCAGTTTTGAAACAGAAATCTGTTTGGTAAATTTTTTATTTCTGGGCACAAATTTACACAAATTTATTCCCAGAATCAGTTTTGGAACAGAATCAATAAACAAAAAAAAGTTATTTTTTGATTATGGGAACAAGAATCAGAAATGGCAAAGAAATTTTCTTCTTCTTCTTCTTCTTCTTGATTTTCTTCTTAACCCGTGGCCGGTCGCCGGCTGCCAGCCACTGGCGACTAGCCATAGCTAGGGCCGGAGAGGGCGTCGCGACCATCGCTGGTGACCGGCGAGGGTCCCTCTCGCCGCCTCGGCGAGGGCCGCCCTCGTCGGATCTGGCGAGGGCAACCCTCACCCAGGCCGCTAGCTGCGCTCACCAGATCTTGCGAGGGTGGCACTTGCCCAAGCCGCGAGTGCCGCCCTCGTTGGATTTGACGAGGGCCGCGATGCCTTCGTCGGCCCTGGCCATGGCCAAGGAAGGGGAAGAAGAAAAAAAAAAGAAAAGAAAGGAAAAATAAAAAGAAAGAAATATTAAAAAAATTCAAAATATTATTAATAAAAAGAAATTTTGTGCAGTTACCAAACGCATTTCTGTTCTTTTTTTATTTCAAGAATAGAAATTTTGAGCAGTTACCAAATGCCTTCAAATGCTTAGAAATTATTTTCAGAAATGGAATAAAAAAAAATAATTTCTAAGCAAAAATTATTTCCGGGAACAGAATGGTTACCAAACGCACCATAAAAGCCTTCCTATGTTTCCATGAAGAAAAATTTTCGTAGCCCCAGAATTGGTTGATTTAAAGATGAAATGTTCTATTTGGAAACAGCAGATGCCCGGTTTAAATCACATCTTCTATCCACGCCCGTGACCAGTGGTTGAAGCCTTACTCAATACAAGTGAACCGAATGATTTACGTGTATTTGTGAAGATCAAACATCAAATTGAAAACTCGAATATCCTATGTCATTAAAAAAGGAAAATGTTTAACGTGGACAGTAATTTATTTTCCTACATTTCATCAGTCACGAGGAGAATTGCTGTTTAGGGGAATCTTTCAACTACAAAGACTACTTGCGGGAAATCTCTTTTACATCGATGCATGCTCTGTTTATCTATATTATATTCGGCATACGCTTTGCCTTAAACAGCATGTATGTAGAGCGGTAGCAAAAACTGACAAAAAAGAACAAAAAAATTGAGGAACCATGGGCCACTTATCGACATTTTCAGTGCTTGGGGAAATTCCAGGTCTCAAAACTGGAGTCAGTTCCCAATTACGAGTAACCAAATCAACTGATCATCGTGTTCCCTTTTGTGTTTTTCAATCTGCTACCAAGATTAGACATGCGGACAGCGCCCTTAATCTATGGTCTGCACCTTGATATAACACTTAGAAATTGTCTCAACTTAATGCCCTTATCACATATTTAATCTTGTTTATTATAGTAGATGCTCGTCACAATCGACGTAGAAGCCCTAGGTTACTGAGTGTAATGATGCTTAAACTAGGGCAGTCTGAGACTCCGAGAGGAACCCGGTGACCCAAAAGGTGAAACAATCTGATCCTTTTGGGCCTGGCATTTCGGGCCACAACTTCAAGTGCAATTTGAGGCTTGGGCCGGTGTTCGGGGCCCGGGCATGGAAAGAAGATCCTGGGATGATCGGCAATCAACAGCTGCTCAAGGCAGATAATTTTCTTGAAGGGAAGGCCTTTTTGTTAATCATCTTCGAGCTAAGCTAGGAATACCGTTGTATCATGTTAAAGTGTGGTTCATACTATCCATTAACAGGAAGGTACGGGTCCTGTTCCTGGGTAGGTAAGAGGGGTTTCGGAGGGCTGCCACGGTGGGGGACGCAAGGGGCAGAGCCCCCTGGCCATCAGAGGGCTTTCATAGTTTGGACTCGGATCCATGAATAGCTACTGAATATATATAGTTTACTTCCCTTGTAATTGAAAGTTGTAATAGAGATATGAGAGGTACTAATTATAGTGGAATTTATTGCAGGATGTAACCTTAGTTTAAGAGTGAACTATGATAAAACCTGATATCTCGATTTCTCTTTCTTGCATTCATTCTCTATTTCGTTAACATTTCATGACAATCGACCTTGTGGTCCATGAATAGCGAGATCATCTCTAGGGTTAAGGTTGATATGTCTCGTAGATTGGGAGAGGAGAATCTAACGTTCACATAATACATTGCTCCTTTTGCAACTAGAGACATGCCTGGAATCATTACGAATTCGCTTCTTAGTGTTGCTGTTTCAAATGGCCATCTCACATTGAACAGAGATCACGGAAGCTAGACATGGCCACGGGCCGGTTTCGGCCCGGAACCGGCTCGGGTCAAACCCGGGACCGGCCAGTTGACTGGGCCCGCAGTTCGGAATCGGAACCGGCCCGTGGCCTACGGGCTCGGTTCTGATTCCAACAATTTTGGAACTGGCCCAGAACCGGTTCCAAAAAAAAAAAACTTTGATTACATTTTAAGTTCAAGCCCATCTCTCTCTCTTTTTTTTCCCTAAATTTGATTACAATGTACATTTTGATTACATTTTATATTGAATAATTCATTATTTCATAATTTGATAATTCATTATTTTTTTATTTCATAATTTATTTTTTTAATTTTTACTGGCCGGTTCCGAACCGGGCCGGAACCAGAACCGGCCCAGAACCGCCGGTTCCGATTCATACATGTCTAATGGAAGCCATTAGATATAGAATGCGTGGAATGCTTGATAGTATGTATCCATACGGCAAGAAATAATGAGGAAAACTGATCAAGGAAACTGTGTCGAAGAAGAATACGATGGCGAAAACTTTCCGTATGCATTTGCAACTACCATTCAAATGTCAAAACCTCATTCAAATGTTTAGAAGAACTACCATGAACTCCAGCAAAGCTACAGCCTCGTTACCCTTAGTGTTCGGTACGACATTGTTGGGAAAGTATACGAGTTCCCTCGGCTAATGTATCTACCTCAAAGTTACACGAAACAACAATGTTCACATCCTGTTTCCTAAACAATCCGACCGTCATCCTAGCCAGGACTTTAATGGCTAGCGAGAACGCCAAATTCGGCTTCAATTTTGCGCCCTTCATGCTTTCCTCCATCTCCTTCGATGATCCATCACTAGAACCATGAAGGACTAATTGAGATGTCGTCGTGTTCTTCTTACTTTGATAAAAGGTTGGAAATGTCCCGGCCGCAACTTCCTTTTGCTCGAACGAAAGGGAAGTCTTTCCCCCTTCCTTGTACAAGATCCCACTCCTGGCATTCGGGTTCTTAGCCTTCGTCCTTATATCAAACTCATGTTCGACGATACCTTGGCTAGAGTGCAATGTCTTCTTGACGAGGAAATGATCGATGGAGAAAATGGGGTCCTTGGTCTTAATGAAAATTGAGGTAATGCTCGCAAGAACCGCAAGGACGAGGAGGACGGCGATGAAGACCAAAAGCAGACACAAGAAGCAGCAGCAACATGACCTCTTGCTCTTGGCAATGGGAGTGCGGTAGCGCTCGACGATAAGGGCATTTTCGGGCGGGGGAATGCGGTAAACCTGGTCCTTGGGCACTTGGACGACGTAAGTGCCCATGGGGAAGACTTCGCGCTGCTCATTGGGCCTCAATGGGTTGGGGTCAGGGTCGGGGTCAGGGTCGGGGTCGGGGTCGAGCACAGGCAGCTCGTGGCTAATGGCTTCAGTGCTGGAAGAAGGGTGATCCCGCTCCTCCATGAGAAGATGGGGAGCGGTCAGCAAGAGGAGGGTTAGGTCGCTGTTTGGAATAGGGGGCTAAGGAGGTACAAACGGCGGCAGCGGCAAGCGTCGTGGTGGTGGTGGAAGAATGGTAAATTTTGGAGAACGGAGAGAAATCAGGTGGGAGGATTACTCTGTTGGTTTTGGACTGAATGAGAGGTTTGAAGTGAATAAGCCTATAATTGGAAGGTGTTTCAACTTTCAAGAGGCCAAAACGTATGAACAATAACTCAAATCTAATGGTTCCTCCTACATTAACGCAACAGTCAAAAGAGGAGTTAGTTAAAAATAAAAAAGCTACATTTTCCATTAGGAAGGATAATTAGAAGATTCCATTAAACTTGATACTTTGTTAAATTGATACTACTCTAATCTAATCTCATGCTAATATCGTTTTACGTCGTTTTATGGTGGAATTATGGATAGTCGATCTAGGTCAATTATATGGATAATTTACGTCCATAAGAAATATATCGACTGAAGTAGATAGCTGCATCTGACCAAAAAAAAAAAAAGAAGTAGATATCTGCAAGAAATAACTAGCCTCGTTGAAACGATTATCATGCCCATGCATGTGGTTTTACTACATATAGGTTATTGTTCAATTTGCTTTTAACATTTGACATTGAAATGGTCAAGACTAAATTTAATAATAAAAGTAATATAATAAATCAAATAATCTAAGAAATTCAAATACAATAAGTGAGACATTATAAAATGAATCGTCAAAAGACAAATATAAAGAATCATTTTAATTCAGCATAATTATAGAGTCTCGACATGTCACACCCCGACTCCTAAAAGCCTACAAGTATAGAGGAAATGACACGATCATCCTTTTATTCGTTGAACACAGTCTCAAACATAACAAACATTAACATATTATCAAAATATATATGTATCTCCATCTTTATATCTGATAAAACAACAATTTGGTTATAGGATCAGAAATTTAAAATCCATAAAAAAGTATATGTATACATCTCTCGACTCAGCAAAACCCAACAACCATTATCAGACGTATACATCTATCTCGACTCATACCCAAAGGTCCAACTATCAAAAGTTTGCGGCGGATTGCGCTCTCGTCCTACTTTTTGCTATAAGGACTCGAAAAATATTAAAGATGAATGATATAAGGAATCATAGCCTACTGAGTAGTACAAATCTCTTTTAAGCATATCGAGCATCTGTTGTGCATATTCATAAAATAATATCATAAGTCAAAGTGAGTTATATTACTTACAACTATGTGTATAAATATATGTGTATGTATACATAAAAAGTATTCATTTCATAAAAAATATCAAAGCAAACATCAACACATTAGTCCATTTATCAATCTAATGCTCAACATCAAACTATGACAATGCTTATCACCTTAACTTGGCTTACCAAGATTCCCCCTTAGCTAGGTCTTAACAAATATTAGCTGGTGGCTAGGCTCGCAAAGATGTCTTAAAAATAGTTTGCATACTCCCAACCCCTCAATGGGTTTGGAACATAGTGACATTGAGCATCAAATCATTTACTCATCCTCCAATAACTCACAAATAAAATCTAGAATCCATCTCACAACTCAAATTCATTAACCATAACATAATGATTTTCACAATTCAATTCATCAAGCATTCATAAATTGGTAACCTTTCACAATTCTTTTCATAGAACTTTTCGCAAACCATTCATAAGTAATCGGCTCGAGTTATATTCAAAAGGTACTTTGCCATTTCAAATAATTAAAAGGGTCGTAAACGCCCAACATGGCTTTATGAAACAAATATGATATTTGCACCACTTTTCTTTTCAAAGAAATATCAAACCATGTGATGCGTCTTTCATAACTCATAACATATTTTATCCATATTACTTCCAAGACATGATTTTATAAAGTCAAAGAAGATATATACACCACTCACCTAAGATTGCAAAACCAAACAGCAAAAAGCTATCTTGAGCTAATGAACTCTAATTCCTATCAATTAAGCAAGAAATGAGTATCAAAATCAAGTAGAGAAATATCTTAACTAAGACTTGACTAAATTAGGCTTTTCCTGTGACAAAAAAACTCTGATACGCCAACAAAAAGCTCGCCCAAAGGGGACTCATAATGATGTCCACTATAGTGTGGCAACTTGTGCACCGAATTTAGTCGCACTATAACTCTCTCTAACAAACTCTGATTCAAAGGAGCTTATTATCAAAAGAAAACTCTATTAAAGTACTAAAAGACTCTGAGTTACGCTGACCCAAAAGATGGCCGGAGATAGGTGAAAACCATTGCTGAAAATAGTAATTTGTAACTGGTTTTAACAGAGCGCGCATGCATTTTCAAAATTTCACCTCGACCAAACTGTAACTCCAAATCCACTTCTTTAAAATCTCACAGCTCCACAACACTTTAAACTTTCATTATTAGATGATTTTGCAGCTAAAGAACTCCTATATTGGACCCTAAAAACTAAAATCCACTCTAATCCGAATTTACAGTTGAGCTAAATAAATTCCTTCAATTAGATAAATAAAGGGTTCAGATCCTTACAAAGCGCTACAAATTGGAGTTAATTTATTTTGTTAAGGCCTCCATTGGGTGCATGAGATGAATCTCTCTCTCTCTCTCTCTCTCTCTCTCTCTCTCTCTCTCTCTCTCTCTCTCTCTCTCTCTCTCACAAGCTGCAGATATTCAGAAAACACCCCCCCCCAAAAAAAAAAAAAAGCTGCAGATTTAACTGAAAATGGGCTTAAATGAGATAGAGGTTGGGCTTGGGCTTAAAATTGTTCTCCTCTTGTAAGTGAAGGGTCTGAATCCTTACAAAGTCCATTTGTTGCACAACAATCATTCGTTTTATCCAATAAATTTCTAGACTCAAACTTATCCCGTCCATCCCGTAACAATTTTGATCTGTTTTCTAAAGCAATTCAAATCCCCGCTTTTTCCTTTCCTCATTAAATTTCTATCTTACTCTATCTTTATTTTTAAAGAAATTTTTTGTTTTTTTTTTCCTTTTTCGACTAAGAGTGACCTATCTAGGTCGGTAGTCAATATGCAAAACAATCACATAAAAAAGGGATATGTGCACTATAAGTTCTAAAACTTGTAAAAGGTGCAATCGAGTCTTAAAACTTATCAAATTGGTTCAATCGAGTCCTAAAGTTAACATCGTTTAATTTACTAACGGAAAATACTAACGTGGTGCTAACGTATATTATTTTATTACTTTTCTTGAGACATGTGGCGATGACGTGGCGTCCAACAAGCGCCACGTCAGAAAAAATTTAAAAATATAAATTAAAAGAAGAAGAAGAATATCCCAACCAGCGGTTGTGGCGGTGGCCAAGCCATTGCCGATGGCCGCCGCCACAGCCGCCCGGAAGGGCCAGTGGAGGTCGCCCGGGCCTCTCCGAAGCCCGGCGACCCTCGTCAGCCCCAGGCGAGCCCCCGGCGAGGGCCTGTAGCCCCGATCTGGGGGAGGATGCGACCTGCGCCCCAGATCTGAATGAGGGTCGCCAGCCCTCGCCTAGGGCTAGCGAGGGTAGGCGAGGGACGGCGAGGCCTCGGCCAGCGTCGCCCACCCCAGGCGAGTCCTCGCCATCCCTCGCCTGCCCTCGCCGACCCCAGGCAAGGGTCAAGCGAGGGTTGTGCCCTCCCCCATATTAGGACTGTAGGCCCTCGCCAGGGACTCGCCTGGGTTCGGCGAAGGTCGCCAAGCTTCGGGAAGGCCTAGGCAACCTCCGTCGGCCCTTCCTGGTGGCTGTGGCAACGGCCACCGACGAGGGCTTGGCCACCACCACAGTCGCCGGTTGGGTCTTCTTCTTTTTCTTCTTCTTCTTTTTTTTTTTTAATTTTAAATTTTTATAGCTTTTTTCTAATTTAATTTATATCTTTTTTTAAAAATTCTGACGTAGCGTTTGTTGGACGCCACCTCATCGCCACGTGTCTCAAGAAAAGTATTAAAATAAGACACGTCAGCACCACGTCAGCATTTTTCATTAGTAATTTAAACGGTGTTAACTTTAGGACTCGATCGAACCAATATTACAAGTTTTAGGACTAGATTGCACCTTTTACAAGTTTTATGACTTCTAGTGTACATATCTTAATAAAAAAAAATAAACTAGAGGTCGGTAGTCGCAAGTCAAGTACGTTCGAGACATCGACAAGCACAAGGCCCTCAAAGTCCACACACAATCAAATCAAATCGGGCCATGGTGACAAAAATCGGGCTTTGAAAGAGACAAACATCTGCTGAAACTTTTTCACAAGTTGGTCCTCCCCAAGAACCATGAAAATTCAAAAGAGCAGACGAGCAAGAAGATTCGGATTTAGGCCGCAGTTCATCGACATTTCAGGAGCTAGAAGTTTCTTGATAAGATTAGGGATCGTTCGCATGCATCTTCCACGTTCATTACCCAAAAAAGGAGTTTGCCGAGTGGCCGTGCGTATCACACAAGGAAAGGTCAAAAGAAATGGATCGATTCAGCACCCCGTGAGAACTGGTTTCGAGCCTGAATTAGTCCACGAAAATCGCTACGTCGCTGTGCTAATTAAAAGCCCCGGCATGTTTTTAGGGATTTTAATTGAATTTCGTATGGTTTCTTGGTGAACAAGGGTTGCAATGATTGGCTGGTCGTTAGTGACGATGATTGATCGAAATCATTATGATATTCCCGACCGGTGGCGCGTCCAATTCGTCATGTTCTTTTGCGGGGAAATTAGTCCCGTTTTGCCTAATAAGATCCAGAGAAATTCACGACGTGTGTGGGAAGGAAAAGATGAGGAAGTGTCCGTTTTCTAATATGGTTTTACCAGAAAGAAGCAGAAAGTGTCACGGTGTGACAAGTCCTCTCGACCTAAAATGGATGAGGAACGATGTCATGTTCAGCTATTAATTCGAGATTGTAGTGTTCATTAGGTTGGATTCTCTTCTCGTTGGACCAATATGGGGTACCCATAAATCTTGTTTGTATACCACCCATTTGCCCAAGGATCTCGCCGACGCTAATGGGACATAAGCCGTATGTACCATTCACCTAATTGATACGATCTGACAAATCGATAGAAGTACAATAACATTGACGGACGGTTTGTGTTAAGTGAGATGACAATGACTCGAACTTCAATTTAGTGAGAAAAGTGAAAACTAGTTAGGAACTCGACAGTTTGGCGCGAAATTACGTTAGCCCTTGTGAACTTGACTTAATGAAGAAATCTAGTTGTTAATCATAATTCAGGATGAAATTGTCTTTCCTCGTCATTACATAGCGAGGACCTTTGAATTGATTCAAGACAACTTATTATTCGTAGTGAAGGTTGACCATTGATTTCATTCTATATGAGATTAAAACCCGACATCATTCGGCTCATCCGAAATGACACTCAACATTAATCAAATCTCTCGTGACCAACGGCGCATGTGCACACACATTGTTGCTGACAAGTGACGAACAAAACCCTAATCAATACTTACCCAAGCGGATCTATTCTCCCGGAAAAAACGAGGAAACTTCCGCTGCCTTGAGAACACGACCATCAACATTTGTTTTTATGCTTTGCTCCATTAGTTTAGGCATTAGATGACCTCTCTCGTTCTCTGTCGCTTTCGTTTCTATCTTGGGAAACATCTCTTTTTATTAATATTTGGTGAGAGGCTGGCAATTGTCCCTGCACCAGACGGACAACCACCCTTCAACGATGCAAGACAATTCAACAACAACTATTCACATCTCAAGACACTCTTAATTGCATGTTACAGCTTGAAAACATCCAACTTATTGAACAAGTTACGTGACTTTCTTATCTAGTTACCCGACAAGCACGTCCTAAGAAGTTCGTTAATTAAATTCCTTGAAAAAAAATTCAAAACTGGAAAAATTGAAGAAAAACGTCTAGAAAGAGGAGGGAAAACCATCGATAGCTCCCGCACCTTTTGCTTCGATCTTTCCAAAGCCGGCAACCACTGTCCTCGTCCGTCCGATCCCCAAAAGCCACGTGGGCCCCCCCTCCGGTCAACGGTCAAACTCTCTTCTCCCTATAAATCCATAAACCCCTTCGCGCACTGCGCAGAGACCACCGCCACCATCACCATCTTCTCTGCCTCCGTCTCCCAAGAACATCTCGCATCGGAAAAAGAAGATGGACTGCTTCGACTGCCTGCCGGACTCCATCATCATCGACATCTTCAACGCCGTCGCCGACGTCAAGGCCCTCGCTTGCTGCCGCGCCGTCTCCCGGCGCTTCCACTCCCTCGTCCCCCACGCCGACGCCCTCCTCCTCCGCGTCGACCGGGTCCTCCCCGACCCGGGGCCCGACTCCCCCTTCCTCTCCCTCCTCCGCACCCTCCTCAGCTCCGTCTACCACTTACTCTCCCCGCACCCCGCCGCCGCCCCCGAGCCGCCCAACAACCCAACCCGGGTCCTCCGCGGGTTCGCCCGGATCCGGGACCTGGAGATCGAGCTGCCCGCCGGCGACCTGAGGCTCGAGAAGGGCACGGTGGTGAGGTACAGGGCGGTGTTCGGGGAGCAACTGCGGAGCTGCGTCATCCTCGGGTTCCGCCACGGGCGCGGAGGGGGCGGGGCGGGGGAAGCGCAGGACGGCTTCGGGGAGGGGCTGAAGGAGCGGGTGGCGTGGATCTTGAGCGCGCTGGCGGGCGCGTCGGCGAGGCGCCGTTACGTGGCGAGGGAGGTGGCGAGGGAGCATGCGGGGCTGGCGCGGCTGGCGGTGAGGGACAGGGACGGGGAGGGCGAGGTGGTGATGGACGAGCTGGGGTTGAGGGAGGCGGCGACCGCCGCGGCGGCGGCGGAAGCGGCGGGATCACACGGCGAGGGGCCGAGGAAGCTGGTGGTGCCGACCCTCAGGATGTCAATGCGGCACGCGAGCACGGTGGAGATTGCGGGCGGCGGCGGCGGGGTGCGCCTCGAGGGGCCCATGCTGGTCGTCGTGAGGCCCGACGAGGACGGCGGCGCGGCGGAGGACGACGCTGAGCTGGCGCTGGAGGCGTTCGGGGGCGGAGCTTACGGGGAGGCGGTGAGGGCTTTGCTCAAGAGTAGGAGTCATCAGCTGGAGATGAATCCTTTCTAAAAAAATAAAAACAAGACTGTATAAAATATGTAATTTAAACATTTTTTTCTTCTCTTTTTTCCTCCATTTTTGGGGAGGCCATTATTCTTTCTAATTAGAAACGTGTAAAATGATTAGTATAGAGTGTCTTTTCGCATAGGTTTTTTTATTAGATTGATGTCCAGATTTTTATTTATAACAATCGAAATGATGACATTCAAGGATAAGTTCCGACATATGATTTAGAAAATAACTAAGTTCCAAATATGTTTGATTTTGGCTACGTAAGACATTTGAACTTTGCAATTCACTTTGCGTGTGCACCGACCCAACTTGGCAATAAATAAACACAAATAATAATAATAATAATAGCATTTAGTTATCTTTTTCAACGGTAAAGCCAATCTTTTCTATACATGTTAAGCGTTCAAATCGCATATTAAGCTTGAATTTTCGAAGATAAAGTTCTTGATTCAATTTCATATTGAGAGTTTTTGCCCCGGAAATTGTGCACTTTAAAATTGTTTCTTTGCATGTGGTACTCGCAAGCGGACTTAAAGGGACCTGGCGTAGGTTCCAAAGTTGCCCTTGAAATTGAACAAGAGGATTCCATAAAGAAGACCATACGCTTCTTCGGAAAAAAAATATAGAAATAACACTTTCACAAATTTCCAAATCAAGTCCCTCCGATCAAATTTAGTTGACGTTGTGACCAGATGACGTATTAACTATGCGGATGTCACGTGGACGGGTGGAAAAATTTAACTAATGTAAACAACGCCGAGATATGATGTGGATAAATTTTAACTAATATAGATGCTTATGTGCACGTCGCTCTACAACTTTGTTCAATTGCCATGTCCGATGGATTGGGTCGGATTCAATATCGGAAGAAATTGTTTGCGAAAGGAGAAGTACTTAATTAGACAAATTAAAAACACAAAGACTTGATTTGAAAAATCGTAAAAATATAGAGAGGAGAAGTGCAACTTTTCCTTATAAACATTCCGAAGGCCACAACCAGGGTACAAAGTAAAAAAAACAAAGGCCAAAAGGCCCAGTCTTCCGGAATCAAGCTCAAGCCCATGAGGGAAGCAGGGGCTTGCAATGTCATTAGGATTAGGAAGATGTTTAATCAATGATAAACAAATATTGATGGGATCCAAGTAACCTAATCATTACTTTAAACATGGAAATTGCTCTTTGATCTTTCAAGCCCACACCCACATTCGATTTCTTTCTTTAATGGTCTCCCTAAAAATTCATATAGTACAACCTTGTCGACATCTAATTGATGTTACCTGAGCTGAAATATATATCTTAATGTTGCCAAAAATTCTTACTTCTCAAATTGAAAGTGCGTAGTTATCTCGTCTCGTGTCATTTATTATTAAAAAGCTTTAAAAAAGAGGGGCTTGCAACGTTATTAGGGTTAGGAAGATGTTTAATCAATGAAAAACAATTATTAATGGGATCCAAGTGACCTAATCACCATTTAAGACATAGAAATTGCTCTCTGATCTTTTAGGACCTCACCCACATCCGAATTCTTTCTTTAATGGTCTCCCTAAAAATATATATATAGTACAACCTTGTCGACATCTAATTGATGTTACTGGAGTAGCAATATATATCTTAATGTTGCAAAATATTCTTACTTCTCAAATTGAAAGTGCGTTGTTATCTCATCTTATGTCATTTATTATTAAAAAGCTTAAAAGCATACCTAATGTCCTTCATCAAACTCTGAAATTCAAAGAATCTTGGAGATTTAGGGGGGACAAAGTACATAAATATCAAAGTGGAAGATTCTTAAATTATAGACTATAGTGTAACATTAGAAAGTTTTGGGGGACCAGGAGTCCCTTCCAACTCCGTCCTTGAGTTGCAGTGGTGACCAGAGTCGCAAAGGGAAAGACAAAGGAAGCTTGACATCGAATGCTATGGTGGGAGCAGGCAGCCGTAAGAGCTGCGATGAAGGCAGCTGCGAGTGTGGCGGAGAATGGGGAGCGACGACGAAATGGGACGCTGATGCCCTATTAACTACATTGATCCGCAATATTTAGTTTTGTTTCGTGGTTTGTTATCCCGAATTAATTGGGAGAAAAGAGAGCTAAGAGTACGTGATCGGAGTTAGAATTATACATAAATTGTCTTTACATGAGTTCATGTGTCATATGCTAGAGAGACTTTTTAGAAACGAAATGTTGCCTGACCAGATATGATGCAAGAACATCATACTCCACTTGATTCATAAAAACCTTTTTCCCTTATAGCCTAAGCCGGTCCCCATGGTCCACACCAGACACAATATCATGCCAAAGGGGAAGAGTATAGTTGAGTTCATCACATCAATAGGGTTGAAATTACACACAAAAAAGATTAAACAAGAAGGGGAGAGAAGACTCTCTCTCTCTCTCTCTCTCTCTCTCTCTCTCTCTCTCTCTCTCTCTCTCTCTCTCTCTCTCTCTCTCTCTCTCTGTAGCCATGGTACTGATGCTTTACTTAGGAAGAGAGAGAGGGGGCATTTCAAACATGGAGAGACTAAACAAAAGGAGGAGAAGTGTGGGAGAGATGGGTGGGGTCGGCATATTTTACTCCGAGGCTCTCGAGCGCATTTTACCAAACTTCATGATTACCATCCCTCAATTACTCCCCTCTTGTCCCACCACGACTTTCGGTCGCCTTTCCTTTTTTCCCTCCCTTTATCACATTCCCATTGTCCGTTTGTTCGTCTATCTGCACTTCCCATCACTCCCATTTGCTCTGATTCAAGGGCATTCTATACATAACTCCTTTTTAACCAAATCTTGCTGCTCTAATAATGAAATTAGGGTTTCTTGGAGTTGATGTATGCATCATGCATGGGGGGGCACTAGTGAGCGGCAAGAGTCTACAAAACCGGTCTTTCAATTTCATCACGACTTGGTGGTGTGGTATGATTGGATCATGAAGCAAGCTCGTGGGTCTCTACCTTCACCACTTCATCTCTCTCTCTAATTTAAAATTGCTTGGAAAGCATTAGAATAAAGTGGAGGGTGAGAAAGAAGCCTCTTCTCGTGACCCCCACCAAACCAATGGGGACAAACAGGAGTCTGTTTTTGAACAAAAAAGAATGGAACCAACACGTACTAAAAGGAGGCAAAAGGCACGAGAAAGCTGGTCACTCCTCCCTCTTCCCTTTCTTTCAAAACACCACCACGTCAGAAGCATTTCCCTCAAAGTAACCAAAGCACGCAGCCCATCGAGCACAAGATCTGAGGAAACAGATAATTCATCCGTAGAAGAAGAAGGAGGAGGAGGCGGAAAAGAGAGAGCAAGACTACTTGGCCTTGGCCATGAAAGGCAAAGAGACTCACAAAGTAGCTCAGTCAACAGATCTGCTAGTATGCTTCCCCTCGCGGGCACACCTGACGTTGATGCAGAAGCCCATCTGCAGCCCGGCTAGGCCGTCTTCGGAGACGAGCAAGTCCTCTCGCCGCCGTCACCACCAGAGCCGCCAACAAATCAAGAGGCCGAGCACGAGGCTCGGCCAAGCGAGCCCTCTCTTATGGGCCAAGAACAAGCAAATGGGGCCCGAGATGGCGGAGCCGACCTCGCCCAAAGTGACCTGCGCCGGGCAGATCAAGGTCCGGCCCAAGGCTGCCGCCGCCGCGGGCGCGGCTTGCAAGAGCTGGCAGACCGTGATGGAAGAGATTGAGAGAATTCACAACAGCAGGAACAAGGTGCAGAAGAAGAGGCCTGGCTGGATGGAATCTCTGGGGCTCAAGAAAGAGATCATGCAGTTCTTGACATGCTTGAGGAGCATAAGGTTTGACCTCAGGTGCTTTGGCTCTTTCCCTGAATCGGAGGCCACTAGTGATGGTGAGGCCGGGGAGGATAATTATGAGTACCCTTTGGGTGCGGATGGAATTGATGGAAAAGAGACTTCGAGGACAATTTTCTCCAAGTGGTTCATGGTGTTGCAAGAAAACCAGAGCAACGTGTTCAGAGAAGAGAGGAGAGAAAAGGAGAGGTCTTTGGTCGATGCACCGCCAACTGCTCCTCCACCAAATGCTCTCTTGCTAATGAGGTGTAGATCCGCTCCTGCAAAAAGCTGGTTACGAGAAAAAGAAGAAGAAGATCATGATGAGGGCGAGGAAAAGGAGGAAAAAGAAGAAGAAGAAAAGGGAAAGAGAGAGAGGATGAAGAAATTGAGTATATTGATAGAAGAGGAGAAGAGAGAGCAAGAAGAGCAGAGGGAGAGGACAGAAAAGATGGCGGTGACGAGATATGGCACTGATCTCCGCAAAGGCTCATCTGACGTTACAAGAGAAACATGGCTTAGTGGTGGGGCGAGAGATATGCTGCTGTCAAGGAGCATAAGCTGGAAGAGGTGAGGTATGCGAACAAGAATGGCAACACTTTTTTCTTGTCTAGTGGCTCTGTTTTTTCTGCAATCTACTTTGTCACAGTCACACTTTTTTTTCCATTCAGTCTTTCTTACCCTGTAAATTACATTTCTGATGTGGTCGAGTTTTCCAATAATCAGTTCTTCCAGTGATCCATTCTCTTGGTTGTAGATTGAGTTTTGGGGATATACAAGCTCTGTTTTTAGTTGCTCTCTGACTCTGTCGCTCTCCGCTGTACATTCCAAAACGTGTCAGTGTCTCGATACATTTCAGGTTACATCTTTATTATCTTCTGAGAGACGCGAATATGAAGAACACAACACGAACTCTTCCGGGGAAAATTACCGAAAAAAGTCCTAAACCTTTTGTAATTGTGCCAATTCAGTCATAAACCTTTTTTTTTTGCCAATTCAACCCTAAATATTTTGCAATTGTGCCAATTCAGTCCATCTGGCCACTTTTGGCCGGCCGGCGTTGACATGGACGCCGGCCGGCGCAGGCGCGGCTGACGTGGCAATTTTTAATATTTTTTTTTATTATTTTTTTATTTTTTTCTCTTTCTTTTTTTTTTTCTGGCCTATCTTCTTCCCCGGTCGCCGGTCCGGCGACCGGCGAGGGCCAGCCTCGCCGTCACCCGGCCATGGCGAGGTCGACCTCGCCCGACGACGGCGAGGTCGACCTCGCCAAATCTGGGCGAGGCCTCGCCCGGCGACAGCGAGGCCGCCCAGATCTGGCGAAACCTCGCCGTCGCCTGGCCAGGTCGACCTTGCCCCGCGACGGCGAGGCCTCACCCAGATCTGGCAAGACCTCGCCGTCGTCGGGCGAGGTCGACCTCGCCATGACCTCGCCTTGCGACGGCGAGACCTCGCCAGATCTGGGCGGCCTAGCTGTCGCTGGGCGAAGCCTCGCCCATGGCCGGCGAGGTGGACCTCGCCGGCCTCAGCCTCTCGCCGGTCGCCGGACCGGCGACCGGGGAAGAAGATAGGCTCGAAAAAAAAAAGAAAGAGAAAAAAATAAAAAAAAAATCGAAAAATAATAAAAAATTATTAAAAATTGCCACGTCAGCCACGCCGGCGCCGGCGAGAGGGAGCAAAAAAGTCCGTTGTGCCAATTCAGTCCTAAACTGTTTGCAAAAAAGTCCGTTGCAAAACTTGCGTGCCGACTAATTTTCACCGTGTAGAGCAGAACGCCCAAGGAATTATCCGTTGAGGCTATACAGATGATTCAAAATACATTGATAGCACATGTAAATTAAGATCCATCGTCTGTCGCGCACTTACCAGTTTGAGAGTAACCTACTAAACCCGGTAATCCGTTAGATGCCTTATAATTAGCTCCTTGCATAGCCCGTTGTTTTCCAGGAAGACGCGACTTTCGCTACAGAAACGAGTCATCTTCAATCAACTGTTCGAGCTGCGTTTCTCACGGGCTCATCGTTTTGGTCTGAGAGCGGGTTCGACTCGAACTAGTATTTCGACCTTTTGAATCAGGCCATGTGATTGCAGTGTGATCTCGGATTGCGACTTTAGACGCGCTGATAGCGATAGTGTTGCACGATCATCTAAATGGTGATAATTCATCGCAATAGGTTACCTACCTCAGTGTTAATAAGTGGGCACGCAAGTTTCTAATGAAAGACCAAACTGTGGATAAAGATTGCAACTAACCCCACCCCACATCGTATTCCTATGTCCCCTCCTAGTGCCCAAATACTAGGCAGGACAGTAGAAATCCCGGGTGTTTGTCGTTGTAGCTTAGGGTTTACGTAAGAGCTGTCCCATGCGTGAGCCCTAGAAAAAAAAGGACTTCCCTTTGTAATTTCTTGTAAATGTCTCGGAACGTTGCACAACTATCTAAAAATGAATTTATTCGTAGAGCACGTGAGTCTTGTTGAGAAAAAGTGTTATAAAGCAGCTGAAATTCGACCGGTCGAGGCGGCAGGCATTTCCACGATCCTCCCGCCGAAAATTTAGAACTTTAATGGTTCGTCGAAAATGATGGGAGCGTCACGCGACATGCTATCTTTTAGACTTAAAATTAATATGGATTGTACGTGGTTCTTGGAGGGACGATACTAAGGCCTGGTTGGGGGGGCGGCTGTGGTAATCGGCGCTCGAGTATTCGTTTGACGCTTTCAAGAGAGATTTTCCACTTTCGGTTCGAGTGAAACGACTCATCACGCCCTGTCCTGGCTTCTACATCCAACGTGAGTGGGTCAGAAATTTGGTTGAATTCCAATCATGTTGGATGTTGGTTAAGATTGAGCAAATGCATAGGCTTTTCTTTCACCATGGATCGATCGGCTCGGCTGCTTAATTAAGTCACGTGATTCGATATTTCGGGATACTCAATCGGTCGCAGATCTATTTGTACAAATGTCGATTCGGTCCTAAATTTTTTCGATTTCGCCAGTATAGTCCTAGACTCTTTGTGCAAAATTATAATATAGTCATTCCGGCTAATTGTCGCTAGGGGTGTGCAACTGGAGGGTTACCACCAGAAAAACAAGTTCGAGAATCGGTTCCTATTTATACTGGTCCGAAAACCAATTCCATTTTTTGGGAATTGGTTGGAACTAGTCCGGTTCCCGATTCCAAGTAAAGAGCCACTTGGACTGGTTTTGAAACCGATTTTTAGCTTTTGTTAAAAAAGAAGAAGCTGTAGATCATACTATTACTATATTATGGATTGTTACTTTTGGTGGATAGTAATTTTTATTGCTCATCTTAGGATCGTTGCTTTTGGCGGATAATGATTTTTACTATTCATCTTTTATTTTGAATCGTTTCATTGCTACTTATTTTGCTGGAAAAAAGGAAACCAGAAAAAAGAACAAAAGAAAATTAGGTTCTCAAGTGGACTCTAAAATTGGATCGGAAAAAGAGGGTGGATTCCAAAACAGGTTCCAGGACAAATATGGTGAGTTTCAGGTTCTAAAAATTGGGAAACGGTTATAACATGGTAGGTTTCAGGTTCCAAGTCAAGAACCTACCCACCCTGAAATCAATCACCCCTAATTGTTGCCAGAAATCATAGCATCTAGCCATCATCAATGGTCCTGTGAACCAACCTTCCTACGTGGTACGTTGATGTGGACTGCCATGTCGGTGATTTCCGGCAGCAATTGGTCAGAATGGCTTCATCAGAAGTTCGTGCAAAGGTCTACGAGTGCATTGGTCTGACTAAAAAGTTTAAGACTAAATCGGCAACCACGCAATAATTTTATGATTGATTGGGTAATCTTTCCCAATTTCTCCATGATACAATCCAAAAAATGCATAAATTTTATCTACCGCAAAATTCCGTGCAACTCAACCCTCACATCTTCATTTGACCCACTTATCAAGAGTTAAAGTTTCACCCTGCCAAATGATGATATGATCGACCTACTTCATCCTGTGTTTGAGGTGATTTTCAATTTTATTAGGCTTGTCATTTTGCAAAACGAAAGGGCCAAAAGCCCATAGACCGTTTTCTGCTTATGAGTTGTTTTAACAAAAAGCATATTCCAATTCTTTAAGGCTCCATTCGTTTTACGGAAAATAACTTCAGGAAAACGTTTTCCAGATTTTCAGACGTTTGTTTCATGGAAAATACACTAGCCACGGAAAATATTTTCCCTCAATGGACAAAAGACCTTCAAAAGTGAGGAAACCCCCCTCATTCTTTCACTATTCATTTTAATTATTTTTATTTTTTAAAATTCTAATTTTTAATTATCTTTTTTTATTTTTTTCTTTTTCTTTTCTTTTCTTCTTTTTTCACCTTCTTCTCCGGTCGGTTGCCGGCCACAGGCGAGCTCGAGCCTTGCTGCCCTCAGGCGACGCTCGAGCTCGCCTGTGGCCGATCTCCGGCCTTCGTCGTGGCCGGCGACCGGCCGGAGAAGAAGGTGAAAAAAAAAAGTTAATTAAAATAATTAAAAAATCAATTTCTGAAAAAATAAAAAATATTAAAAGTAGTGAATGAAGGATTGATTTTCCATACCGAACAGTGGAAAATATTTTCTAGTTCATTTTCAAGTCTCAATCGAACACCGGAAAATATTGTCATTTTTTTTTCAAGTCTCAGTCGAACACCGGAAAATATTATCATTTTCCTGGAAAATGATTTTCCGGAAAACATTTTCCAGAAACGTTGCATTTTTCGCGAAACGAACGGAGCCTAAGTAACAAAAGAATTGCACCGAAAGTCCTAAATTTCTGCACAAAATAAAGATAAGTCGTGCGAATAAGTCTTAGAACTTCCTTTTTGACTATTTGTATTCTAACACGTTTAAATTGATCCAGTCAAATACTTCTAGTGATTCTCCTTGCTAGAAAATCACATTTCGGACAAAATTTAAGTATGGCGCATGTGATTTTCTCTTGTGAACGAAATCGCCGAAACACTCGATTGAATCACTTTAAAGATCTGTAGGACTTATATGATTTATAGTTACTCACAGATTGGGATCCTATAAAATTAGGAATTAGTTGCACATTCTCACGGATTGGGATCCTATAAAATTAGGAATTAATTACACAATGTGCAACTAATTCCTTAATATGTCGATGAATCACCTTATGTGCATTTTGGATGAGGACAAGACCTATTCTTTCATTTTTTTTTTTTTATGTTCTTTCCTTTTCTATTTTCCCCTTTGGCCTTTCCCTGTCCGTATGCCGGAGAGATCCGAGACCTTTGCAGCTCCTCCTTTGCCTGCCACCGTCATGCCGTTGCTATTAGCCTTTCGAGTCGCGAGACGCCACCGACCTTGCAAAACCCCCTGCACCTGCCCCCTCTCTCTACAAAGGTAGACCACCGCGAGGGGCGCCAAAGTCTAACCTAAGTCTGGCTCTGCTTAGGCTCCATCAAATATGGCATCCTAAGAGAGCACTTAGGATGGCAATAGGTTAAAATAGGAAATGGACACTGAAAGTGTCATAACTTTCATATGGTATTCACTTTAGCGCAAAAAACTTTCAACGAACCACTTAAGTGCTGTGGTGAAGGAAAAACAATTAGTTAAGTGCCTCTGGTGACAAATTTTGACAAAAAGTCACAGGTGGCTTTTTTATAAAAATAGAAATAATCTTGGCCTTCCATATAATCGGAAAGCTTCATGTGGACCGTTGATATCTTTTCTTCTTCTTGAAATGCTTGGATCCTTGTCTCAACCCCACAAACCCACCAAATCAAATGAACCCTAAATTGGAAATTCTGAATAGAAATTCGATAATCCAAATTTAGATTTCCATAATCGACTCTTCTTCGTCTTCTTCTTATTACTCATGGAGAGATTGACCTTCTTCTTCGTCGTTTTCTGTGGAGCGAATCCAAAGCAAAGCTTCTTTGGAGTGGCGAAGGAGTCGGAATCGATGGGGGAGGTGGGAGCGAGGGAGGTGTAGAGACCAGATCGAGCTTTGTGAGGAATCGAAGCTGAATGACGACGATAACTTGTGGAGGAGGTCTTGCGACATCATTGGCTCTAGATACTCCACCACCTTGCAGTCGCTTGCCAAGCTACTGAGGCTTTCTTCTTCATCGATGTCAACTCTATTCATACCGTCGTTTTCTATTGTGAATGGCGATTCGTTTTGCCCCAAATTGCCTTGGTCCGAATTAGGGTTTGAAGAAGAGTGGAAATGGTCGATTTGTCCAAATTAGGGTTTACATATGGTGCAAACATGCTCAGCAACATTGTTTAGTGTGATTATGCTGACTCAGAGCGCCGGCGAGCCACGTGGATCAGAAAAAAAGGTTAAAATATTGATACTCAGATTTCCGGAGTCCCAAATTGAATTAAGCACTTGATTGATTTTTTTTTAACCAAAGTGACACTTAAGTGATTTGTCGAAAAGTTTTCGCACTAAAGTGAGCACCGTATGAATATTGTGATATTTTTAGGGTCCTTTCCCCATTAAAATGTGACGGTGAGAGATATGAGGCATGGGCGGTCGGTGTGGTAGCTATGTGCGATGACCCCCCTAACCACACGAGATCCACATCTATTAACGTACTCGCCTGTCCTTAGAAATTTACCAAAACTTGCCAATCAATTCAATGCGGAGCAGCAGCTGACGAGCCGTGGATCCCATAAACATCATGGACGTGCAAACATGGGCCATCAAAAGACAAGCTGCCGCATGAAGCCAGCCACCTCCCACGAAACTTGTCCATCCACGAAGCCTCAACCCACATGCCTTGCGTAAGAACATCAACTTCGAAAGACTCCCATGAATCACGAATACGTGACAAGCAGCAAAAATTTAAATGAGATTGGTTACGAATTTCCCAATAATTCCGTGTGAAGTTATGCAATGTGTGCACAGTCATGGAGAGGGATAGACGTGAGAGGATGCGGATCTTGATCTTTTAGGGTTCGGGATTTGGTTTCGTAGGGTCGGCCAATGGCCATTAAAGTGAAAATAATAACACGTACCATGACAAGGACGTCTATCCCCCGCACAGTGTCGATCTGCTTTCCCCCCTATTATTTTACACATCCTCTTCCCCTCCTCCTCCTCCTCCTCCTCTTCCCTTCTTCTGTCCTTGCGCACGAGCTCCAATCACGTAAGCGAATTAAACAAGTGTTTTCCTCCGGTTACCATAGTCGTATCGAACTGCGATGTGGTTCAACCGATCTATCCTTCCCACGCATTTCTTAAGACGATACATCCTCGGAGAATATTTTAAATCGGGGAGGAAGACGCGAATAGGATCGCGCCGTTGCAACAATCGCGCGGACTTGTGACGTGTCGGGATCGATGTTCAGGGTTTAAAGTATTCACCTATCCGGAAAAGGGTGTGTGCCTAATCCCGAGTTATTAAAAGATTAGGGTTTCGAAATCATGCACGAAGCTAGAGATCAGGACACGGACCGATGATTGTTTATAGCAGAAGGGTACGTATTTTCGTGTCTGAAATTCAGTGGGCGAGCGCGGGCGAAAGATTCCCCTATGTTGATCAATGATTGTAGCTACGAAATTTTCGTTTCTTGAGTTCTGACTCGGTCAAAAGCTGAGGTAACCAAGGAATCCCCGCGAATTAACTAATTAATTGATTTCTCCTTAATGTATACATATGTGTTAATCTAAATTATCGTCGCCGTGCAATTACACAAAGAGAGCATGCACATATAGATACATGCTCATTGGTACGTAAAACATGAAACGCCCGGCGCATCTCTATCCCTCACGCCGAAATCCATCGTGTGAACACGTGGATGGTGGCTCCAAAGCTAGGTATAATTAAAATTTTAATCAAGAGATTTATTATTAAGCTTTAAGCATCTAAAAGGGCCATCCAAAAAGTCCATCTTATTGGTGTGAACACGCACGAAAGGAGAACTTTTTGCAGTACTATCCCATGTAATAATGCTAAGTATATAAACAAAAACCGGCCGTCCAAACTAATCTATAAGAGGAGATGAAGTTAATTCTCATCGAGTGGTCAGTTTCTGTTTTATCATGTCATCGAAGATAATGAGTTTTTTTTGTAAATTAAATCTTTTAATATACTTAGCGTTGCTCCAAACCAGAACATGGAGGGGGGTGGATTCTGGTTCGCCTCCAATGGCTTTTTGCCAAAGCAATTCTGTATTCTGATTCATGTATGACTCCATCAGCAGTGCGTAAAAAAGGCTTCGTTAAATTCCACATTTACCTATCGCTTTCTTTCTTTCGCATTCACACATCAAATCTATCTCCCTTCCTCTCCCTCTCAGAGTTTGACCCGTTGCCAGCCACCAGCATCTCCCTCCCTCCCTCTCTCTCTCTCTCTCTCTCTCTCTCTCTTCTCAGGATACAAAACGAGAGAGAGAGAGACCCCACAAGCCCTTTGTGTGGAGGATCGATTGATCTCATCTTAGTGGAAAACGTTGGTTGCAACCTCCTCCTCCTCCTCTTCTCTCTCTTTCTTTCCCTTTCTTTCTTTTAGAGCCGAAACAAAAAGGTTAAATAAACTTTCCCTTTTATCTTTCTCGCTCTTTCTCTCTGAAACCCTAGTTCAGCTCCAGAGGAAGAAGAGCCCAGAAAGAATATCAACACGGTCACGCACCGCTTGACGTATCTTGGGTCTCTTCTCCCTTCTTTCCACCGGCAAGAAAGATCTACCCATTTTCGTTTACCATCTGCACTTGGTTGTCCATTCTATCTCCAGCTCAAAAAGAAGTCAGCCACAGAGAGAGAGAGAGAGAGAGAGAGAGAGAGAGAGAGAGAGAGAGAGAGAGGGAGGGAGGGAGAAGTGTAGATCAAGGCAGTTAGAAGCTATAGCTTTATGGGTTCTTTTGCTCCGTCTCCATTGAAGTTAGCAAGCAGATCAGCATCTCTTTTCTTTGGTCAGCAGTTGCTTTTGCAGGGTCAACTCTTCTGGTAAGCTCTCTCTAGCTCTCTCTCTCTCTCCCTTCTCTCTTCTCTCTCGCTCTCTCTGCTATGGATTCTGGTAACAGTGGGAGCATGCAATCTTCGAGCGGCGGAGACGAAGATTACGATGACTCGAAGGCTGAATCGTCCCCGCCGGTTTTATTAAATTCTCCTCCAGCTCATACCAACAATATAGGCTCCTTCTCTAGTTCACACTCTCCATTTCCCTATTTCCACCAAAACAACCACCTACCCTCTTTATATGATTCTACTTCCACTTTTGTTCCCACCTACACTCACCCAAACCCAAATCTCGCCACCGCCCATTTCGATCTCGGCATGTTCCGAGCGGACCCGAGATCCGACACTGTGCCCGGACCCTCCTCGTCCAGCCAAGGCATGTTGCTTGTACAAGGGGCAAGCCAAGGACAGCCATACCCAACTTCATCATCATCCTCGTCTCTACAAGCGCAATTAGTCCATGAAGCGCCGCAGCTCGCGCGGGATGATCGGGCCAAGGCCGCAAGGAACCCCCGGAAGAGGACTCGAGCATCGAGGCGCGCCCCGACCACTGTCCTCACCACCGACACCACGAACTTCCGGGCAATGGTGCAAGAGTTCACCGGGTTCCCCGCCCCGCCCTTCTCGGGCCCCCGCAAGCTCGACCTCTTCGGCGGTGCCAGCTCAATTGGCCCGCTTTTCCATCCTCTCCGCCCCTCGGCTCAGAAGCTTGACGCCAACATGGTCAGCAACACGATTAGCCACCTCACCACTTCAATAGCAAACAATTTCCGAAACACTGGTTGCCACAGCGTCCCTCCATCCGCTTTCCAATTGAACCCACAAAAACAGCCTCAAAACCCTCTCACCCTGCAAAACAACGTCCTCACATTCCCTTCTCTCACACATGACCCTCTTGGTGCGCCAACTATACTACCGGGTTTCGGCTTGAATTCTCAAGGAAACATGGGAAGAGCAGTAAATTCTTCGGATAAGGAACTCGCCATGAGCCCCGCAAACTTCAACCCCAACTGGCAGGACGGCCTTGCGAGCCACGAGAACACGGCGAGGACGAACGAGGGTGGTTGGAGAGAAGGAGGCAGGTCGAATGGAGGGAAGGAATTGGAGCAGTTGAGGCCCTTCAACGAGACCAACTATGGGAACTCATCACAGAGCTTCAATGGGTGCAAGCTCAATTATTCAGCTTCTTCTTCGTCAGAGTTTCACAATGACAAGAGCCTGGACAACAGCAATGTCTCTGCAAGAGGTGAAGGAAGGGTCGATTACTGGATTAGTCCCACTGATTAGGCCTCCACATAGAACTCGAGAAAGGTAATATTATTTAGCGAATGATGACTGATGAGAATGATGCACCGAGTCCAGAAATGGAGGGGGATGAATTACAAATATTGTTCTCATGATGAGGATTCGGTGATAGTGACTGTAATGATGAGGCCAAGATTGTTTTTCTGAGCCGTGTTCCTGTTTACATCAAACAGTATCTCTCTTCCTAGTTTTCTGTATATTCGTTTTTGGGGTCTCTCTCTAGAAATAAGAACGTTATCACACAATTTCAGCCAATTCCCTTTCATTCCAGAACTCATTTTCCTCTTTGATTCAGTTGCTAAATTCCATTGGTTCGCTCTTAGTTGAAGACAGAAGTGGACTTTACATGGAAGTATCTAGCTGTTTGTGCTTCTCCACTTCAAATATTACTGGAATAAGCATCTATGTAAAATGATTCAGCCAGGAATCGGTATACTAAAGGTTGTTTAGTTGCCTGTGAATTTTTTCTTTTTTTGGCCTTTTTCCTGTCATTGCTATTGATTCACATCGAATTTTAGGTGAATCAGGGAAATATGTAGGCATGTAGCGTAAATAAAGAGGCGTGGCCTAACTTGGCCTCAATATGGTGCTTGATTTTTAATTTAATGATTTGCCTACTGCTGCTATCCATGCACGAAAAATTTATCCTAGTGAAAAAACAATGTCCTCGTACTAATTCTCGTAGTAATAATCTATATCAGTAATCTGCGCAATTCCACACCAAACAACATATTTTTCCTACCACGAGGTAGCTTTTCTAACCATAACATTTGACCGGAAATTACTGACGTTCGATCTTCATTGGCAATGAGCATAGACATGGGGATGAATATTTGATCTTTTAGGTAAGTGTCCTTTGTGATTGATGGTGATCAATTCCAATTCCTGCCTCCAATTCCAAATCTTGAATCTGCCCTTTGTCAAAATTGGTTGTTCAAGCTCACCCTGAAATGATGTTGAATGATGTTGAACGATGTTTGGGAGTGATGCGAGAGATGTGAAGTCAAACCAAAAAGCCCCCCTTTTTCCCCATCAATCTTTCAACTTTTTTAAAATTAAAAATTGTGAAAGAGTAGTCAAGCTGAACTTAGATGTTATAGTATACATGTCTTTAGATGCTAGGGGTGTTCAAATCAAATGAATTCTGACTTGAAACTCAATGAGTTGTAAAAAAAGTCAAAAGATAGAACCCCCATAGACATTAGAGTCGCACACTTGTAGCTTCTTAAATAGGTGCTTTAACTTTTGCACGTATTAGGTAATATCACTCAAATTGATGCAACTCAAAAGATAACTACATGCAAACTTCTAGGGAATATCGTGTACCAAACAATCTCTTTTTCTATAGCAAGTCGGTATTTGCCTTTTCTTATAATCCAATGGTATGGTCATGGAGATATAGTTATTTGGAAATTCATGAAACACCTCACAAATTCGATGAACCGGTTAAGTTAATACCTTCAGCCCATGTATACAGAGTATTAGAGTCACAGGAAGCGCTACACAATCAGAGCATCGAAAAGTGGTAATGAAAAGTAGTTTTTCTTTAAAACAAAAAAGACCCTAATTAGGATGATAAAGGCTCATTGTATGACATGGTTTTGCTTCCACCCATTGGACTCTGGTCAAATTCAAAAATTGTATTTTCCTTGATCTATCAAGTTAGAGCCACCATATATATGTGTCATGCGAAAAGAGATCAATGTGCACAACAATTGGCAAATGAGTGCACGCATATATTTAAATTGTTAGCATGTGAACCGCTCGCCATATATGACATACATAAAAGATTGTGCATGCTTCACTTTGGGATGCACGAAATTTTCTATTCATATAAAGAAAAATATATTATACTAAATTGAATTCTTGATCGAATGAAGAAGGACGAAAAACACCGACTAAATGCATGGGATGACCAGTCACGAATGCGACCCTATTGGAGATATTGTAAGACACGAGGACAAAAGAGAGGATTTAGTAGCCATGTAATTAGGATACGGTGAATTTCTTTCCTTTATTTTTTTCGTTTTTCTATGATTCTTTTTCATAAAAATTTGGTGGAAAATATTGGGTGGGCCAAGCCAGAGAATAATAATTTGGTGCTTATCGATGATGTTTGTCTTTCCCACATCTCTTCTATATTATCCCTCCGTTGGTCCACCCTTATCTGTCCGAGAGGACTAGCCTCTCTCTCTCTCTCTCTCTCTCTCTCTCTCTCTCTCTCTCTCCGGTGCCAATAATTTACTATGGTCCATATTCATATATATATATATATATATATATATATATATATATATATATATATATATATATATATATATATCATTACAAACTTTTAAAGAATGTCTTAGCACTGTAACGATGCAAGAATATCATTTGATGCACTCCCCACCAAAGAAAATATGAACAATTACCATTGTGCCAGGTGCCATTTATCTCGTGCGTATGAACGATAACGTGGCGGCGTTCGCCAATAATGACCAGCCATTTGTATCGTTTTAGCAACATTTGAATGCCGACGTGTAAGCTGTATCTAACTGCCACGTGCGACACGTTTTGATTGTTTTTCAATCGTGATTGACTTGAATCAAATGTGTGTGGTCACTTCTAAATTTTCATAACCGGCTTCAAGTAATTCATTTGATTAATGATTTATTAAAAGATCAAAATTGGTTGCAATAATCTACACAAAAAGGAGAAATTGTCAACAAATAGCGTATTCTCACTAAATTAATCTCTTTTGCAAGCATTAATTTGCATTAAAAACAAGAGTGCTTTCCCCAATCTCAATTAATTCCATATTTTCACTAAATACATTGGACTAAACATTTGACATAAAAGTTCCATTTTTATTTTCGCTGGATGCAAAGAGGTTCTAATCCACTGAAATTTGTAAATATAGAATATTTACCTTTGTTACCACTAAAGGATTTTGATAGACTTTCTAGTGTCGGTTAGATTGTTAAGCATTTTGAATATTTTCCTTATAGAGAATTAATCCAATTTAATCAACTTGAAAGTTATTATCAGATTAACATTTTTTTCTTCATATATATACAATTATTTACTCGAACCCCACCCATGTCGTGGGTTAACAAATTAAGCATTTTCTATAATTAGTCGTTACATACAAGTCCTAACCTAAATTTTTTATTCGATGGTAGATGAAAGAAAACTTAAGAACAATAAATTTGTATTCATTAAAAACTTCAATTGCGCTCGCATAATGAAATTATAATTACACGAATGACATTAATGTGTGGGGTGATGAGATGTGACATTCCCACAATAATCACCGTTTCTGTAAATATATATAATAAATGGAATATCTTTTGCTATTTCTAATCGGGGGGAATACGTACTTAATTTTCTTCTTTTTCCAAGATGATTGATTCACTCTATAATTTAAATAATGTCTTCGTTTCAAGGTTCCTAAAGGAGAAATCGTCGTCCATTGATGATTAGTCCATAACGTGATTCCAACAATTCATGCTTGAAATAATGACACAAATGGTTCATGAACTTTAACCTAATATGCAATTTGATCCCCGAACTTTTAATTTATTCAGTGTGATCCATAAACTTTTAATACATGTTTAATGTAGTCCCCGAACTACATGAAAATGGTCAATATTATCCTTTCATTAATTCAAAATCATGGACAACATTAAACATTTTCATATAGTTGCAGGTACAAAATTGAACATATACTAAAAGTTCAGGAACCATATTGAACAAATTAAAAACTTAGGGATCACATTGCATATTGGGTCAAAATTCAAGGACTATTTGTGTCATTATCTCTTCATGCTCTTAAAATCGCCGACGCCGATCCGAGAAAGGAGAATCCATTCTACTAATTGCGTAAGCCATGATGAAAGCATCTTGTGACCTGAAGTGAGAAAAAAAGGAGTCTTGTCCAAGGATGGACCATGACCAAGAAAATGAGCCATTGAATTGGAATGGTAGACTATCCTCAGCAGGCAATGTTAGACCAAGCCAAAAGCATTATTTGTCTTTGACTATTCTCTCGTTCTCTCTCTCGAAACTCCAGCTCGAGACAGCATTTCAACTGCAAAGAAAAATTGGGTTTTGTCTGGGGGATCCCACGTACCAAACATGTGTCCGTAACATTAAGTGGAGTTGAGGAAAAAACCCTAGCTCCAATGCTGTTGTTTTCCCCGTCTTAGAGAGGACAACATTACGTCCCTGTACCCGAAAATTTGACCATACTCGGCAGAAATATTGACATTGTCTTTGGAACTGAGGTTTTAGCTCCCGATTTTTCAAATTTCGGGCCATTTCGGTCGCGGGCACCCGTTTGCATTGAATATGAATCATGATTCGAATGCGTGCGAAAGCGAGATGATGATCTAACTCCGTCGACAACGGAGGAATCTACAAACGGCCACGAATAATTTTGGAATCATGTGTAAAATGTTGGCCCTACTTGAATGGAAATGAGGGTCATTGATCAAAACCGAAGACCGTGCCGGCGAAAGATTTGGGAAGCATGATGTCGATTTAGAAATTAGGGATCGAACTTGGCCAACGAAACGGTGGAAACTCTCCTTCCGTAAAATGGGACCCCATATCGATCGTGTATTCATTTCTTTTCGGGCAAGTCGTATATTACATGTCCGGAAGACAAAAAGGGCAAAAGATGGTCCTCGAGTCGTGGGGTAGGTATATTGTTCATCCAATTTCCAAGTAATAAAGGATAAACTAAGCAAAAGGACATGGAGGCGATCACTAATTTAATCCCTAATCCAACCTGGTTGGCATCTCAAGTTGCCATCGAAGTTGCGTCTGTGTCATCCTCTTTAGTTAGGTAGCCCACTAGAAGAAAGTTCCTCGATTAGAAGCAACAGCTTTTAACCACATGGTTTCTTTTTTTATTCGAATCATTGCAAAACTCGTTATTTTAAAGAATCCGGAGACGAGTTTGACGGGGTCGGTCCTCATTTAACACCAAACTCACGTCTTGGAAAAATCAATCTTGTTTGGTACAAGCAAGGTTTCATTCATAACAAAAAAAGGAGTTGATTTGCTCAATTAAACTTTCTGTTAGTTCCGTTCACAGAAAAATTATCCAAAAAGTTCTAAAATTATTTTAAGGATGTCAATCTAGTCATAAATTTTCAAATTGGGCCAACATAATTCTAAACCTTTGAACGATTTTCCAATGTAGTCCGTCCGGCCAATTTAGACCGAAAATCGTTATCATGGCGATCCACTCAGCGCTAGCCATTTCA